ACCCAAACAACCTACACCAGGGACTGAGCCTGCCATCCACAAATGTGGCCTCACTGGGAATCCAACTGTGACCTCCTGGTTCATAGGTCGACACTCAACCACTGAGCCATGCCAGACAGGCTGAATCCCACATTGGTAAGGACATGCCAGGCTTATCCCACCCACTCCACCATGAGCACTGCAATAGAGGGACTTTTTTCATGCTCAAATGCTTAGTGTTAATTTAATTCTAAAAATGAAACCCTTGGGGAGAGAGTGGAGGCAGGGAAGAGGAGGAACTAGACCTTCTTGAGTGCCTACTATGGGTCAGGAGAAGAGCCGGGCCCTTCTCCCTGATCTGTGTGGCCCTCAGATAAAAAGGAAGGCCAGCACATGCCGGAGTCCTGCAGGACTCGAGATTCACAATAACAGGATGTGCTGATGCGGCTGGGTTCTCTGTCCCCCTCCGGCCAGCCAGCTGCTCTCTTCTCGCCTGTTTACAGCTCAGGAAATGAAGTGGAGGAGGGCAGGGGAGGAGACGAAGGGAAAATTGACAAGCAAGCAAAGCAAGCAATCTAGGGGTTTCACTCAGCAGCTGGGTTCCCTCACGTTTTGTTATCAGCAAGACAGAGACAATGTCAAGGATGTGCCCGAGTGTGTAGACCACGTCTCCCGGTGCCACACGGGCTGCAGCACAGTAAGAGCAGAACAGTCGGGTGCTGCCTGAGCAATGCAAACAGAGCCTGGGGCACCAGTGGAGGCCTCCCCCTCCCGCCCCCCACACCCCTCACTTTCTGATCCAAGGGCTCACACAGGCCCACTCGTTCATTAGCGTTTAGCAGACTTCCTTGGGGAATACACTTTCTGTGCTACAGTAGGGGAAGGTGTGGTTTTCACTCTCTTGAGTGTGAAGAGTCACTTCTAGCTCAGAGCTCCCCATCTTCTTGTCATGGCTGACTTGAATGCAGCCTTGGTCTGGTGGCTTAGTTCGGTACTAGTAAAAGTGGGTCGGCTTCTAGGGTAAACCCCAGATACATATTTTTTTCCTGACCATTGGTGACACGTAGTTCATTTACAACGTTGTCTAGCCATCACCACCATCTACTTGCAGAATATTTTTATCACCTCATACCCATGAAGCAGTCACTCCCTGTTCTCCTCTGCCTAGACCTTGGCAGCCACGAATCTGCTTTCTGTACCTCTGGATTCCTTATTCTGGGTATTTTATATAAATGGAATCATTCAAGTCATGTATTGTTAAGAGCTAAGGATAACCATTTGACTGAGTAGGCCTGGCTGGGAGGCCCCAGACCAATCAAGATTCTCCAGGCTGCCCTAGCTGGTTTGTGTCCTGGGTTCAATTCCCATCAAGGGCCCATAGCTCAATTGTAGACTCAATTCCTGGCCCTGGTCAGGGTGTGTGTGGGAGGTAGCCAATCGATGTGTCTCTCTCACATTGATTTTTTAAAAAAATATTTTTATTGATTTCAGAGAGGAAGGAAGAGGGAAAGAGATAGAAACATCAATGATGAGAGAGAATCATTGACTGGCTGCCTCATATGCCCTGATTGGGAATTGAACCATGACCTCTGGGTCGTAGGTCAGTGCTCAACCACTGAGCCACACCAGCTGGACAAGAGGATGTGTGAGGTGGATGGGGAATCTCCCGTGGAGGAGAGATTTAAGCCACAGGAGAGAGAATAGCCACAGACGGTGGTGTCTCAGAAGGCAGAGGATGGAGTGGGACAGGGATTCTCTGAGAGTGGATCTGCCCTGGCAGGAGAGTCTGGGAGGAACCACCAGGCCCACCGTCTGTCAGAGACGTAGGGAAGGAGGGAGAGTCCTGGCGATGACGGTGGGGAGGAGAACATGGCAGGTGGAAGCTTCTTCCCAACTGGCCTGGCCTCATATCACAAGGAGTACCCAGAAGTGTCTTAGACAAGAAATGGGTGCAGAGCCTGCCTGGCTCCTGTCAACAGGTCCCTCAGGGACGCCCTCACAGCCATCCCAGAGGCAGACAGAGCCTCTGTGTGAGAGCTGTGTGAAGGGACAGATAGGCTGGAGCCAGAGCCAGGAAACAGGGTTCCTGACTCCCAAAATCTGATTCCTACCCCCCTAACAGGGCGACATCCCTCAGAGGGAGCAGGCGCTGAGAGGCCGGCACCTCAGCAGACAAAGGCTGTAGCTGAAGGAAGTCCGCAGAGCACGTTTCACAGGAAGAACAATATCTCGTCATTTAAAATAAATAAATCTGTGGGCTTTGGGGTCATTAAGAATAGCCTGTCTCTGCAGGATATACTTGCTGAGATTTGTTTGGCGTCTCCAGGATCCTTGGCTCCATTTCCAATGAGATTGCTCAGAAGCCAAGGCCAAGCCCCAGCAGAGAGGGCATGGTCACATGACACTGGTGACCAGGCACCCAAGGCCGGAGCCCTCAGCAGGGCGCAGGGACAGGCTGCCCCTCAGCCTGCAGCATCAGCTGAAGCATCCATGGGCTCTGCCCGTCCTCCTCCGCCTCTGCCTCTCCAGGCCTCCCCTTGCCCAGCATTTACAGTCCAGCCTGATTGGATACAAACTCTGCCCTCCTCTGCTCTGGGTATCTCCACCCCTGCCCGGGTCATGCGACTCTGATGTGATTGTGAGGCTCAGGGTATGGGTCAAGGGAATGGTACTGGTTCTCAGGACTAGTCACAGCCCTCGGGAGAATGAGGAAATGTGGGGCAAGGTGCCTGTTTCCCAAGCCAGAGCCTTATCTCACCCCCAACAATCCAAGCTTACAAGGTCAGGCTGACCCTCCACACCTCAGAGGGAATTGTGTTGGGTGTTCTCAGAAAACGCCGAAGGGAAGCCAGGGCTCCGGTGACAAAGAGGGGAAGTACACCACTTGGCCTTCCTTGGGACACCTGGCTCTCACTGCCTTGGCTCACATTTGCTGGGTATTTTGTCCAACCACTGGTCCCTCCCAGCTGCCACTCCATGAGGGCTCCCAGCCTGTCTGTGGCACAAAGAACCACCACCAGCCAATTTCCACTTCCCCCACCACAGCCTGCTTTGCCTCTGCTTTGGGCAAATTGCTGAAGCTCTGTGAAACGTGAGGCACCACAGCAAGAAAGGGAGGTCAGCCCTACCTGGTTTGGCTCAGTGGATAGAGCATCAGCCTGTGGACTAAAGGGTCCCAGGTTCGATTCTGGCCAAGAGCACATGCTGGGGTTGAGGGCCTAATCCCCCCAGTAGGGGGCGTGCAGGAGGCAGCCGATCGATGATTCTCTCATCATTGATGTTTCTATCCCTCTTCCTTCCTCTCTGAAATCAATAAAAATATATTTTTAAAAAAGAAAAAAAGAAAGGGAGGTCAAATGCCACTTCAGTCATGTCCTTGTCTCCTGTCCCTCAGCCCAAAGAGGCCTTTTCCATCTACAGAGCACACGCTCAGCGGCACCCGTTTTCCACGTCATCGTACCCCTGGCCTACGTCGGATGTCTGTGGTCACAGCATTGGTTTCAAGCATGGTTCCTGCAGCCACCTGCTCCCAGCAGGACGGCCAGGCTTACTGGAAGAGAATGTTCTCTACGCAAAGAAATATGAGCTAGGGAGAGTCATCCTCCTAGGGTAGGGGTTGGGCAGACACTCGAGCCTAGGAAAGGCAGTGGTGCTGGGAAATTAGTCTTGCAGCGTCCACAGGCAGCAGGTGTCTGCTGCCCGGACTTGAATGCTGTTATCTCAAGTACAGAAGAGAAATCATTGTCCAAGGTTGATTTCTTCCTCCTTCTCTGTGCACCCATCAACCTTTGGTGACCAGACCATTTTTTATGCCCACACACAGCATACAGGAAAGACCCAACGAAGCTTTGCTATGTGGGTAAGTGAAATGCACTCTCAGGAATGCAGCAGTATTTTCCCAATTTCCCCCACAGCTTTAGAGAGAAGATAATTTAATAAAAGCCTTGTCATTTCACAGGGCTGTGTTAAGCCCCCTGTCTTAGACATCACTTTTTTTTAACTTGACAAAATGATTCTTTTGTTGTTGTTCCTAATTCTCACCCAAGGATATTTTCCCCACTGAGTTTTTAGAAAGAGTGGAAGAGAGGGAAGGTGAGAGAGAAGCATCCATGTGAGAGAGACACACGGATTGGTCAGCTCCCACCCTGACTGGGGCTGGGGATCCAACCTGCAACCCAAGGATGTGCTCTTGACCGGGAATGAAACCTGAGATCCTTCGGTGCTCAGGCCACTGAGCAACACTGGCCAGGTGACAAAAGGATTCTTACATTCTAGATGGCTGTCACACATCTGCTCTCAAGACAGAAGTGTGTGTGGTGCTGGGGGGAGAGGCAGTAGCCCCATTTACACCCTTTATCGGCAAAGGAAAAGCTTCCCGGAAACTCCCCTGGTAGACCTCACTGCAGAGGAAGGGACTAGACAGATACTCTGTCCTCAGGGCAGCAAAGGAGGTTGGAAACTCTAGTCATCTTCTCAGGCCTCAGTTGAAGAGGCGGAGGTGGGGGGGGGGGGGTAATAGAAGGAGTTAAACTGAAAGTCTGCCGCAAATAGCTACACCATTTTTAAAAACAAAAGCACTGAAGGGGAAACTAGACCTATACTGGTTTCCTAGTTTGCTATTAAAATATATTATAAAACCACAGGAGTCGGAGAAAACGAGAATTAGCCTAGAAACAGATCTTAGTGTATTTAACACACCCCGACTGGGGGGTTGAACACACACCTGGCTGTGTGCTCTGACCAGGAATCAAACTTGCTGTGACCTTTTGGTGCAGGGGCCTGATGCTCTAACCACTGAGCACACCGGCCAGGACTGCATTCCTGTGTTAAGTTCACATTATTTTTTTAAAAATATATTTTATTGATTTTTTTACAGAGAGGAAGGGAGGGAGATAGAGAGCCAGAAACATCAATGAGAGAGAAACAAAGACCAGCCGCCTCCTGCACACCCCCTACCGGGGATGTGCCCACAACCAATGTACATGCCCTTGACTGGAATCAAACCTGGGACCTTTCAGTCCGCAGACCGACGCTCTACCACTGAGCCAAACCGGTTTTGGCAAGTTCACATTATTTTTTATTGCCGTTGCTTCATAGAATTAAAAAGGTAAAATAACTACAGGTCAAACAGGATAAAGGGTTTGCAAAACTGAAAATGTATTTACCAGGAAACAAAATAAGACACATTGAAACTTTAAAAAAATATTTTTATTGATTTTTGGAGAGAAAAGAAGGGAGAGGGAGTGAGAAACATCAATGTGAGAGGGGCTGCCTCCTGCACGCCCCTTACCAGGGATTGAGCCTGCAACTCAGTCTTGTGCCCTGACCGGAATCGAACCAGCAACCTGGCAGAGCACAGGATGATGCCCAACCAACTGAGCCACACCGGCCAGGGCAAACATATAGAGATTTGAAAACTAGAACACTAGGGTGTCACCCTGACTTTTGAGGAGCAAATAGAAATATTTATGAGTGCTTCTTATTCCCTTGAGTCAGTTGTTCTGTGATCTTTTACCTAAAGAACAGAAAGTTGAGTTTGTTGCCCAGCAAACTCTCAAATAATGAGTGGGATCAATAGGCCAAAATCTAGGCCTATGGAGAAACCCTGACACCAGGCTTTGCCCTGGATAAGTGTCTGGACTTTCATTTAATGAATCTGCCTCTTTCAGTACCCGGATCAATTTACTTATTTTCTGGTAAGGAAAACTTTTTTTTTCTTCTTCAAAATTGTCCAAGATTTCCACAATTACTTATTTTCCCACGTGAGCTTTAAATCATTTGCTCACAGACTCTTCTGAAATGAAACCATCTGAGAGGACTTCTAAGGAAAATGGAGAGGGGAGTGAATGTTAACCCCCAAACCCTTTACCAACAAAAATGGGAATGAAAAAGAACTGAAAATAAGGAAAAGTACTTGAAGGATGGAGGAGCTCTGAAAACTGCATTGTACTCAACACTCTGAAGTAGGGGTGTCGAACTCAATCAGAGAAGGGGCCAAAATCTAAAATCCAGCCTAAATCGCAGGCCGAATGGTTTATTGAACAATCATAAAGTGTCATTGTGATGGAAACGCAGCGGAGTGCAGTGATGACAGCGCGGTGCGGGCCACATTGCAAGGCCTGGCGGGACGGATTTGGCCCGAGGGCCTTGTGTTTGACACATGTGCTCTGAAGAATGCAGCCAGACATAATGCCGTTGGAACAAACAGAGAGAGTCTCATGACCTGACACCAATCTCTGCCTCATGAGCACAGTGCAGGCTTGCAGGTCATACATGGAGGAAATGCCAGAGGGTCCCACCAGTGTGAGTTCTGGGGTCAGGGCAAATGCTGGAAGGATAAGAAGCATTCCCCGAGGGAGCCAAGCCCCTCAATTGCTCAAGGGTGATGTGGTGCAACAGGTACTGCCTTGCCAAACACACCATATCTTCTGTCATTGTTTCCTATCACTTCGGGGCCGTGTCTAGAGGAAACGTCGCTCTTGCATAGAGAGTCATAGCTGCCTATTTCCTCATTCGGGTCACGGGAAAGGCCTTTCCTCCCTTTGCAAAATGTCTGTCTTTGCAAAATAAAGCCAGTCTTCGATGAGCTAATGTCCAGTCCCCCTCAAAATCCGCCACTAGGTCGCCTGTCAGTCTTCCATGGCTCCAGGAAATGCCCTTCACTCCCCAGCTTTGTCCGGGTCTCCATGGGTGATTTAGGCAGACGTTCTAATCCTGAGTGATTTGCACTGGAGCCACCGTGGACCAGAGATGGTCATAGAACAACTTGTCCAACCACGATGACAAAAATACCCCAGCGCATATATAATCATGGAATGTGGTCCCCGTGTCAACAGTCACCTGTAAAGGCCAATGCTGAATCCATCACTGGGGCTGCTCACAATGTTGTCGGAATCCCTCCGATTGCATCAGAGCCTGCAGCACACTTTGGGGGGTGGGGGGTGGGGGGTATTCTGAGTCCACAGTTAGAATCCTTTTCAGATTGCGTTCGATTTTTGGAAATAGGTCAAAGCCATTTGCCACATGCCTCCAGCTTATAAAAGTTCAACTGGCTAAGTTTTAATGATATGTATTTTATATACACGTATAATGTTTTCACCATACACTGACAAAAGACAGAAAACTGTGAGGTAATATTGACATTCTTTCATAGCTCATAAACACATTCCCAAGGCAATCCATAAGGGACTTTTAAAGATTTCTTTAAACACTAGTAACAGCACTGAAATAAATGCTCAGCCTTTCAGAGCAACTGCTTAGAAGGAGAAACATAATTTCGATGACTATCTAGTATGTTTTTTGTTGTTGTTGTAGTTGGGGGGCGGGGTAGTCTCATTAGAGATACAACTTGTGTGGCAGCTATAACTCCTGTACCCCTACCTAATCCTGTACCCCTTCAATTCTCACCCAGTGCAATGCACCTACTCCTTCATTTTTACTTTGGTAATGTCTCCTTGACATTGGGCCTTCCTCTCTAGTCCCTGGATTGCAATCTTTAATTTCTCTCTTTTTGAAATGTCTTGTCTTGGTTCACACTCTTATGTTCCCCTCTCCCATTACTAGAATTTTCCTCCCAGTCTTCTCCACCTGACAAAACCCTAATAATCCTTCACAGTCCAGCTCAAACTCCCCCTGAGGAGCCTTGGCTGGCCTCCTGCTCTTTGTCCTTCTGCTCATCACCGAATCACAGTGGAGCCTAGAAACTCCATCCAAAGGCGCTCAGTAAGCTACTTGCTGTGTATTGTGCAATGAAGCCTGGACTGATTTCTCAATTCACAGGGTAAGTTCAGGGTCAAAACAAGAGCAACTGACATCAGTTCATTTTAGTTTGACAAGAGTTCCATTTGCCCATAAGGAATGCTACATGAACACTGGAAGGGACAGAACTCGACACTCCCAGCCCCATTCCTCTGGAAATGTATTGGGAAGCTTCCTGGGGACACTCAAAGGAGAGGGCACAGAGCAAGACCTCCTTCCGGTTTAAACAATGTGACTCAGAGAGAAATGATCAATGGGGAGCCATCCATGAGGCAAAGTGGTGTTAGGCGAGAAAATAAAAAAGTGCTCCTGGGTGTAGAGAGGAGGAAGACACCCGCTGTGTTGAGCTAGAATGGAAATCACCCCTAGCCTCTAAATAGTGAAAATTGTGGTCAGCTGTCTGATGTCCACCTGACTTCCTGCTCCAATGCCCCCACAGAGAACATTAGTTGTCCCATTTTTGCTGGTGTGAGAAAATTCCAACTCAGGTATGACCGCCAGAGAAGAATATCAGCAGACTTGTTGTGAACTGTCTGATCATTTCCCCCTTGAAGGAGGATCTTACAGCTTTTCCTTTTGATGTGTAAGGCTTGTACATAGTAAACCTAGTAACTCTTTGTTAACCATATTGATTACAAACAAGTTTTCCCCCAAATGGTTAGTTATCCCCACACTTCCCTAATAATCCATCATCCCCACTAATTTGAAATTGTCACCAAGGCTTTATAGTTAGCAGGGAGCATATGCACTTCTTCAATTGACAGGCAGGCCCCTAAAGAAGGGATCAAGGTAGGACCCAGAGCAACTACCAGACAACTGGACAGTGACATTCAGGAAACTAGTGGTTTAAAAAAACAAGCCAACCAACCTGTGGTGATTCTTTCCTGAGAATAATTTTTTTTTTTTTAATAACAATCTACACATTTTGGACTTAGAGTCTCTGATATAGATATTGAGTTTGGAACATTTCCAAAATACAATATAACGCAGACTAATTTAAGCGATGACTTCTCTTTCTATGCATCAAATCCCATCCCCTTGTGGTGGGGGTGGTTTAAAAAAGCTTCCCTTTCACTATCAGCATTAAGTCCAAACCTTATAAAAATATATGTAAATCACTCGGATGACCCTTAGAATGGGGTTCCTGAAGAGCTGCCTCAGAATTACATGGGAACCCACCGAGAGCCAAGAATTATGGAGCTTCTCGGTTTCAATGTTTGAAAATTCAGCATAGCTGGGCATCCTCCCCTTTGGACTCAATTAAGTCTAAGGCTCTCATTTCACTTAGAAAGTATCTGCTCAAAATAGGTTCTTTTTCCTGTTGTTCAGTTCAAAAAATTGATTTTCCTTTCCATTTACCAGAAGGTAGCATGATGCTTGACCAAGCAAGCAAGTATGCAAAGCAGAAATCATGTAGCGAAAAAGGTGAGTCCATTTGGAAATATTATCAGAGTTTGCAAAAATGCAGGCTAATGCAGGGCAGCAGACAAGAGGTAGTGGGAATGCATATTCTTGAGAAACTGGTAAACACATCCCCAGGAAAAAATGTTAAGATTCTGAGGGGGAATTTAACCATATAATTATTTAGTTTATGTACTATAAATATGTATACATGAGTAAATACACAATAAAAGCTGAGAACACTCTGAGAATTAACTGAAAAAAAGTGGTAGCTTTTGCTTGATATATATAAAAACTATCTCACAGTTTCAGCAGGTGTATTGGCACAGAAATAGATTAGTAGAACAAAAAAAAAGTTCAGAAATAGACTTTAGGATATAATTTAGTATGATTGAAAATCACTAGAGGAAAAACTAACAACCAATGACTATTAACAGGACAACTGGCTAAACCATTTAGCAACAATTAAAATATTCCCCCAACCCCACTCCTTATACTTAAATAAATTTCAGATGAGTTAAGTATTTTATTTTATTTTATTTATTTTTTAAAATATATTTTATTTTTTTTTTACAGAGAGGAAGGGAGAGAGAGCTAGAAACGTCGATGTGAGAGAAACGTCGACCAGCTGCCTTTTGCACACCCCCTACTGGGGATGTGCCTGCAACCAATGTACGTGCCCTTGACTGGAATTGAACCTGGGACCTTTCAGTCCGCAGACCGACGCTCTACCACTGAGCCAAACCGGTTTCAGCAAGTATTTTATTTTTAACTGCTGCATTATATTTCTTACCTTGAGATTGGAAGTTCTGAGCATGGCACCAAAAGCAAAATAATTAGGAAAAAGACTGATAAATTTGACTATACAAATGTAAAGTTTTTATGTGGAAATGATAAACTAGAAAACGATAAACTAGAAAATTTGTTTACAAAACACAGGGTGTCCCAAAATATATATACACATTCGGAATAATGATTAATTCCAATGGGCTAAATCTGAAAGAAAGAAACATCAATTGAGCTATCATTTGTTAAAGTGTATATATATATATTTTTTTGGGGGGGGAGCACCTGTATATGACAGCTAAGAGTGAAAATTATTATGATACAAAGAGATTTTTCAAACCAATAAAAGATAAACAACATTCCAAGTACTGAGAAAAAAGAAAAGTCACCAAGACAAAATTATGAATGACTAATCCACATAAAAAATAGTCAAGGAAATACAAATAAAATACTGAAACAGCATTTTCACCTACCAGATTAATGAAGATTAGAGATATCAATAATGCCTAGTGATGTTGAAGCTTTCTGCAGGTGAGAGTACAAACTTGTAGAAACTTCCTGTGAGATTATGAAGTAATCTGACAATATGTAGTAAAGATAAAATGTAATAGTGTTTTTCATTACAACAATTTCACTTCTAAGAAGTTAGCCTAAGTAATAATTGCATACAATTATGCAGATTTGTATAAGGATAATGAACATCTGGAAACATTCTAAGTGCTCAATAGAGTACTGATGAGATAAATTATGGTTCAAACTTTTAATGCAAGCATTATTAACATGAAGAAGGAAATGTTGATGAATGAAAGAAACATATTACAAAACTACATGCATAGTTGGACCTCATTATGGGAAGGAGAAGGAGGAAAGGGGAAGAGGAAGAAGCAGAAGGAGGGGGAAAGAGCATGAAGAAGAAAAAAGAAAGGAAGAAAGGAAAGGGGATAGTTTGGATATAAAAAAAAAAAACCTGACTCTCCCAAGAACCAAAAGGGCCGTCCAAAGGTTAGCTCAAGGCCTATGAAATCCCAGCAATGAGAACTAGGTTTGCAGTCAGAAGACTTGGCCCACTGAGCCCATTTTCCATTCTAAAACATGGTAAACAATAACCCTTAACATTCCCACCATACAGAACTGTTGTGAGAATGAAGTGAAAGACCACATACAAACAGAAAATAAGGAAGAGATAACTAAAAACTGTGGTCAAGGGGAACAGTCAGCTCCGTAACTGGGCAGTCCCCCCACTTTGGGTTCCTAGTCTGGAAGGGAGCTCAAGACTGGATCTTAGGGCCCACTTCCACACATCGTCCCAAGACAGCCAACAGGGAAGGTCCTTCCTTCGTCCATCCCCACCGTGGGGCCCACTCATTACCCAACTCCGGGTGCCATCTGACCTGCCCTTCAATAAAAGGACCCTTATTCTTCCAGGAAGACAAACTGTCAAGTCTCCTGAGATGCCCTCCCCACTTAACCAGGAGTCCATTTGGGGTGGGGAATACAGAAAGCTGCTTTCACGTTTCTGAGAAAACTGTGAGGAGCGAACTTCAGAGAGAGGGCGCATCCTTTTCGCAAATGCTCAGCACCTGCTTCTATTAAGGATTAACACCGAGGGACTCTGCTACCATTTGGAACATCTAGAGGAAGGAGCAAAGTCCACGTTTTTGCTATCTTAGTACTCTTGCCCGAACAGTTCTTACATTTCCCGCACTGTGCCCACAAGTGCATTTTACTTAATAGTTATTTTAACTAGAATTTTTTATGCTAAGCAAGTGGGATTTCTTTTTTTTCCAATGACAATTATGCTAAGTTTCCATGTGGACAGCTGTCGCTTGTTCAGAAGTTAATTCTAGAGCTGGAAATTAGGTGTGTGTGTGTGTGTGTGTGTGTGTGTGTGTGTGTCTGTGTGTGTGTGTATGAAAACATATGTTGTTTACATAACCAATATTAAAAAAAAAAAAAAAAAAAAAAAGGGACGAGCCTGGCTGGCATGGCTCAGTGGTTGAGCGTTGATCTATGAACCAGGAGGTCACGGTTCGATTCCCAGTCAGGGCACATGCCCAGGTTGCTGGCTTGATCCCCAGTGTGGGGTGTACAGGAGGCATTCTCTCATAATTCTCCCCCACCCTCTTTCTCTCTCTCTCCCTCTCCCCCCTCATGTCAGGGAAGCGCCCCCTTCATCTCTGAATTTTTATTTTATTTTTTTTTTTTTTTAAGGAAGAGGAGGAGAGGAGGAGGAGGGAAGGCTTAGATTCTCGCTTGGGGCAGAGGAAAACCCTTGCTCATCAGCGCTCCTGCCCTATATAATCACAATAATGTGTAATGATTCCAATTTTCATTCAAGCTGTGAAAACAGAATGAGTTTGAATTGTTGCCCATAAAATGAAAAGCAGAAAGCTATCTGTGTCAGTCTGTTGAGAGCTCTACTCTATAATTCACCTGAGATGAGAGCAGGAATAGTTGTAAATGTGGATCCTAAGTTGTAGTCTGAGGTAGGGCTTCAGAGGATGAAGGGCCAGTATTTCTAACGCTGCCCTGTACTGGCAGGGGCCGGGTCTGACCTCTGGCATTGACCCCCAAGTGTCGGAATATTACTTCCATCTCTCTGACCCTTCCCAAGTACGTGGATTCACCTGGGGCTGGAGTCCTCAGGGCGGAGCAACCTCACAGACAGTTTGCACCTGTTCCTACTGCATCCTCATCTGCCTACAAGCCCAGGCTATCAGCTCTGCCCCTCACTGATAAGCCCAGGAAGCCGGTGGAGAACCTGCCAGCCCACCCTGTGGGCATCACTGTCCCTTTTCCTCAGGGCTGCTACGTTGCTCAATTCTAGGATCATGTTCTGACACGCTGTGCCCGGAGGTTGTACAGTATAACTGTCCTCCTTGGGTCTCCCCCACGCTTCTTATTCTCCAGGCCCAGGGAGGGAGGGAGGAGAAGCCACTGTGACTGAGGGAAATCACGAGCCTCTGCTTTTCCTCTCCGTTGGCTCCTTACTGAGCCTTGGAGTTGCATGTCAGTTAGGAAGGAAAGTTAAGTACACATTCACTTTGAAAGTCAAATCTGCACCCCACCTGTCAGTGCAGCTCAGTCATAGTAGGCCCAGGGCTGCTTCCACCTACAGCGTCATGGTTCATGATGGAGAGGCAGCCAGAGCTGCTGTAGGCAAAAGGGATGATCGCGTTACCCACATTGTCACCCCACCCCTGGAAACACATGGATTCTGGCCGGCCCTGGGCTTGATATTATTCCAATCCAGTGTTAATATGTGAATCGAAAGGGGGGCACAGAGCATTTTTATGAGACCCTCATTAATAAAAAAAATTAACCAAGGCTGCTATAAATATTCATAATCAAGAGAATGGTCTAAATTCACAGACTATTTTTCCTGAAATGAACACTTATGGCTTTTGAATCCATAAGACTAATGAGACTGTATCGAACAGACTTTTCAGGGAACGTATACTTTCTAATTAGATGTCAGTTAATTATAGGAAAAGGGCTGCTCCACGGTGTTTGACAAGTTGGCCTGGGTCAATGATCTCCATCCTTTTCATGACCTTTTTCACAAAGTCAAATTTTAATCCAATCTTAAGTTTATCTCAACCAGTCGGTGTGGCTCAGTGGTTGAGCATTGACCTATGAACCAGGAAGTCACGGTTCAATTCCCAGTCAGGGCACATGGCTGGGTTTCGTGCTCAATCCCCATTGTGGGGCAT